ATGGCACGCAATTCAAACTCACGTCAAGGAAATGCTTCAGGATGGCGTGATACAGCCTTCAAGCAGCCCTTGCTCATCAACGGGCGTTCTTGTGAAAAATAAAGATAGCACACTTTGCTTTTGTGTCGACTACAAGAAGATGAACAATGTCACAAAGAAACACGTGTACTTGTTGCCCAGAGTCGATGATTCTCTGGAAAGTTTGCGACACGCGAAGTATTTTTCGTTCATGGACTTGAAGAGTGGTCATTAGATTATTATCCAATGTCGACAAACGGTCGACATTGGTCGAAAAACCTGACCGGGAAAAGGCGGCTTTTGAAACTGCGGGTGACTTTATGAATTCAGAGTACTCCCTTTCGGCCTCTGTTTCGCTGCAGCCACATTCCAGCGAATTTTGGACACTGTCCTAACACATCGCAAGTGGAAAAACTGTCTCGTCTACCTTGAAGATGTTGTGTTTTCAGAAACGTTTGACAAGCATCTTCGTCACCTTCGAAATGTACTCGAAGCCATTATGTCGTCCGATCTCACACTTAAGCTTCAAAAACGTCAGTTCAGCTAGGAAAACTAAGCTTTCTTGATTGCTTGATATATGGGCTTTAATGTCACGAAACCACCTTATGATTATGAGAGATGCCATAGTTAAGGGCTGCGGAAATTTTGACCAGCTGGGGTTCTTTAACGTGCACCCAAATCTCAGCACACGAGCCTACCACAATTCTGCCTCCATCGAAAATAGAGCCACCGCAGTTGGGATTCGATCCCGTGACCTGCGGGTCAGCAGCCGAGTACCTTACTCACTAAACCACCGCGGCAGGGCAGCTAAAGTTTCTTGGTCACAATGTCAGTGCCGGTGGTGTTCGACCTGATTCTGCCGAGACTGCTGCTGTCGCCACTTTCCCAGCCCCAACTGAGAAAAAAAGTCTTCGACGATTGCTTGGTCTCCGCGCATATTACCGGCGCTGTATTGAAAGTTTTTCTAACACTACGGAGCCACTATCACGCCTCACGCATGATGACACACTATTTGCCTGTGCTGACGAACAGCAGACTGCCTTTTTGAAACTACAGCACCGGCTCTCATACCCTCCCATGCTCGGCCATTTCGATGAAGATGCTGACACGCGAGTACGCACGGATGCCAGCAATTTCGGTCTTGGAGCTTTTTTTCGTACAAATACAAGATGAGATTGAAGGGGTGATAGCCAACGCAAGCCGCACACTTTCTCGCGCAGAATCTGACTATTCCACATCAGAAAAAGAATGTCTCGCGGTCATTTGGCCATATCTCTATTAAAGGCCATTTGAAGTGGTAACTGATTTTCATGCTTTTTGCAGGTTGACCAGTCTTCGAGACCGTTCAGAATGATTAGCACAATAGAGTCTGCGCCAACAGAAATTTGTTGTCACCATCCTGTGCCGTTCAGGCAAAATGCACGAAGATGCCGACACGCTATCACGAGCTTCAATCCGTTAGTACAAGCGCTAAAAGGTAGGCGCCTTCATGGCATCTCTCAGCTGCCGGATCTGATGTCTCATGAAAGTAATGACGCCGATTTAGGACTGATTATTGATCACCTGGAAGATGACACTATGCCCATTCCTCGTCCGATGTCGCGAAGGTTGCCATCATTTTGTTTGAGAAATGGCGCCTTATACAAAAGAAACACCGGTGCTCATGACAGATCTCATCTTCTAGTCGTGTCTTAAGCCCTCTTGGTTGACGTTTTATTAGCTTGCCACGACAAGCCCACATCCGGCCGTCTGAGCTACTCGAGAACTCAGGATCGGGTGCCATAACTTTACTACTGGCCTAAAATGTCTGCCTTCGTCAAACGCTATGTGGAGAAATGCTATGAATGCCGGCGTCGCAAAACACCACCCTTAGATCCTCTAGGCCATCTAAAACCGATCGTTCTACAACGGACACCATTTTATCAAGTGGCAATAGACCTTTTAAGGCAATTTTCTTTGTCTTCTTCGGGAAACAAGTGGATTATTGTCGCAACCGATTACTTGATACGTTATGCTGAGATGAAGGCACTGCCGCGAGGGACTGCATCTGAAGTTACCAGTTTATTTTTATGCATCAAATCGTGCTACAGCACGGCACCCCATACTGTGTCATCACTAATTAAAAGAGATCATTGACAAGGAAGCTCTTCGATAATATCTTCAGGTTGAGTAACACAACCCATCATAAGACCACTGCATATCACCCTCAGAGCAAAGGTTTGACAGAAAGGCTAAACAAAATGCTAGCCAACATGATCTCTAATGTTTGTAGTGGTGCAGTGCAAAACGTCAGACGACATACTGCCGTACGTAACGTTTTCGCACAACGCTGCATCGCAAGAAACTACACTCTTCACACCATTTCGACTTGTTTATGGTCGAGAAGTCAGAACTATGCTAGACGCCATGATTTCGTATGAGAACATCGACCAGCTCAACCAATTAGCTCCCAAGCATCAAATAGTAAATTCAGCGCGCTGAAGAAACGCGTCGAATGGCCCGTGTGCACAAGAGAACTCAACAGTGAGCAGATCCACGGTGGTTCAACATCCAACATTGAGAAGTTAATTAAAAACCTGGTGGCCAGGTTTGGGTTTGCACGCCCATTAGGCGGCGAGGTCTCGGTGAGAAATTCTTGAGGAAGTACTTCGGACCTTACAAAGTATTCAGACTTGTGATCGACGTCATATACGAAGTGTTTCCAGACAGAGGCTTACCATCATACCAGCGCAGGTTGCCACGCTCAGAGATTGTACATGTCGCCCACCTAAAGCCATACTTTACGCGGTAATGCAAATTTTTTCTTTCGTTTGCAAGATAACTCTTCATGTGAACAGTGAATGTCGTTTATTTCGATTGCTGGGCCAAGAACACTTTTTTTTTCGTCTGCTAGTTTGTTTATTGTTTGTTTGTGTTGCCTACTTTGACCCACTGCTGTGCACTCTTTTGTTTGAGCAGCGAGTCGATGCTTTCTTGGGAGCAGGAGTAATGCCATCTGGTGTTCTGTGCCAGTGAACAGTGAGCCAGTTCTGTGCCAGTGAAACAAGACGAAGACGAGCAACTCGGGCTGATTTTTGGTGCGAGTATCAATTGATAGAACAGTAAATTGGTACTTCCCAAGTTAGAATACTTATCCGAGGTTTGATATAAGAAATTCGCTATTTTTACAGATAGTTCGGAAAATATAAAAAATGTAGACAGGTTATCAGCACCTCTAATTGCCATGGAAAGCCCAGTGGAGTCAGTCAAAAAAACTTGAAATTATCATCTCCATATTCCGGTGCCATGTTCACCCATTAAATTTTTATTCACACAGAGCTGGTCTCACACTTTACCCCCTTTGTCCATTCTGCGAAGAATCAGAAACTATTGAACATTATTTTGGCTCAGGTCGGAACTATGCAGTAGTTACAAAAATACTTCCAGCTATTCAATTTGCGAAATTAGGTTTGAATTTAACCACAGAAAATGTCTGGAAATTGCCACAGAGATTCATTCGATGCAGTGTGTAATTTTCTTCAAAACACTAAACGTTTTTTCAATATGGGGCCCATGTTTACAGATACTCAAAAAATACTGGGTCAAAAAGTAATTTTCGAATATGGATAAATCCGTGACATACAATGTTAATCGGGTTTGGCAAAACCAGCTGTCTGGTCGGCTCTCAAAATCAAGGTATAGTTATTAGTGTCTATTTTCTGCTGACTTTTTTCTCCCTCTCTGACCTTTGTTTTTTACTATACTGTCTTCATTCTACATCTTTTTTCCTTTTTTTCCTGTAAGCAATAGTTCAGGTATCGTCCATATGAAACTATATGTTCTCTTGGCCACAGTATGTTCCACAGTATGTTCTTGATACTCTTTTTATGATTACTTCTGAAAGGTGCGACTTTTGGACTAAAAGTGTAGTCTTGCATGTCTACCGGTTCAGAATTACTGCTATCATGCTCCGTCAGAGATACATTTCAGTCGATTAGCGGGAGTTAAACTGCCAACCTAATATGGGGAATCGATCTACAAATCTTCTAAAGGTGTGGAGTATGAAAAACTTGAGCTAGATATTCTAATATTGATACAAATTGAAATGATAACAATGATGAACATTGCCGCAGGCAAGGGATGCATGATTTTGGTGGAGATTGGTAACAATTTGCGTGAGCGATGAAGAGCTAAATACCAATTGTACACGTGTGGCAGGATGAAACTTGATAATGTTGACAATTATGATGAATTGTTCCAAGTTCCAGACAATGACCGGTAAAGTTAGCATGAACTTTCTTTAGATAAGCGTGGTACTTACAAGAAGGAAAGAGATGCTAACGAAAGACAAGCGCTAATATAAGCTACGTTCATGGATGACCAACTCGCCCTACCTACTACACTGAAGCCTATTATGCATTTGAAGACTTACGAATGGACTCATATAGGGTGTTATTGTAGAATATTTAGATACTTCACCTTTTTACTTGACCCCATAACATTTCGGAATTGGCGAAGTTATTTCGATGGTTCTGTCACAATTAGAAGATGGCATTTGAGACGTTGTTTTTTGTGAAGGTTCTTATAAACTTAGGATTTCAACACCATTCTACTTGACCTGTCCAGCTGCACTACAGTGTGTGGCTTGGTGAGCCTAAGAAGCGATACCGCACGCTGTGCTATGTACTGTTTAGCCCACATGACCACATGGGGGCGTCTACTTTGGCAACACGTCTATGCTTTTCCTGCGTAAATAACTCCACATGTTACGTGTTCTCAGCGGGAAATAGTTGCAAAGCGATTTTCAAAGCAAATTTAGAGTGGTGAATAAGCTAAGAAGCATTCCTCAACTGGTGTAAAGTTTGCTGTACAGCTTCTGTAGGAATAAGAATGTATTCTGTGTGTATGTTGTCTGTGTTAGTGCCGGGCATGTAAGAATGCTAACAAAACTGGCTCTTCGTACGTTTACTACTACTAAATAACGGCTGTGTTCTTCTTTTCAGAGTGCATTCTTTGGTTATCGGAAAAAAGCAAGGACTCGGTTCCGCAAGAATGTTTGGATAAATTCCACACTTTCTGTGGGGTTGGCAATACGTTATACCGAAAAGATTTATGTCCGGATGAGGAAACTAGCAACTAACTGCCAGAGAGCCCCTGTTTGGCTGAGTAGAAGAAAATTATAATTAAATTCAAGCTTGTGAAGCAAGTTGCTTTAGTTCTCCCCAAAAGGTGTTGTATGCATCGGTAAATGAACTTTACAAACATCATGAATCACTTTATATTGACAGTTAGTTTATAGCAACCAATGCCGAGCAGCGACAGCATTTGTGGCGAGGCGAAGACTAAAAAACGCACAAAAAAATAATATCGCCTATTAAGACACCTAAATTGCAGGACACACGATTTACAGTCAGGGTTACGCGAAAGTTACAGTAACTTATTGGTGCTTAAGCACCAATAAGTTACTGTGTGATTTGTGTAATGGAAAAAGTGTGAAAACTTATATAGCCTCAATTATAGAAGCCTAACTAACACTGTGGACGTGAAAACGTTATATGGCGCGAAGAATGCCGACAGACATCAACATTGCAGTAGAATTCATGTTCTTTGCGATGATGTTGAAACCAACTCTACCCACTCGGCGCCCGAGACGCACCACCCGAGTTGGTATAGCAAAGTGGGAGACAAAACGTGCGGCCTCTATTTCAATAGTAGCGAGTGACTTGCTGGTCGCTGGAAGATGAAGCAGAAACGCTGGGTAAGTTTCAGTAGGCTGAGAAAAACTTGTATTTACAGACTGTACAAAAGTTACACAGGTACGGATATCAACGTTACAAAAGAAAAAGAAAAACACTTCGGAAATAACGGTCTTCTGTAGGGCGACCCTATGGGTTTCGGCAGAGTAGACGGTGCCTAACACCTGAAGCGCAGTTAGGAACACTTGGCAGAGCTTTAGGGCCTCTTCCTATTCTCTCGGTTCCTCGCCCTTACACAACTCTCGGCGAATTGTCGCCTGCTTGCTCACCGATAGAACAGTACTTGGTGAATCAAATACCCCACCACGAGAACACCACCTTCGGGCACATGCATATTCATGCCCTTTCCTGAAATAAGACATCTAAAATATAAATAGAACACAACTAGAAAATGTCATGGAGGCAAGAGAGAGCTTAGCAGCGCACAAATATCTAGACTCAGAGCTGCACGTACTGGTTTTCTTGGCCATAGAAACCGCTTCCCTAGAACACGTCAACTTCTTGACGACCGAGCTCGTAAGTAGAACCACCAGTGGTCAGCGAGCGGTTCCTTTGTGCTGTAAGAGGAACCGCTCGCTGACCACTGGTGGTTCTACTTACGAGCTCATTTGCACAGAAGCAGTCGAAGACACGCTACTGCGACAATACGCATCCAATCGCCGACTGGGCGTCCGATCAATCGCGACATGCACCACGCTCTCACCTGTCGCCAGCTCACCAGCTTCGATAGCTACCGAAGCCGGACCGAGACAAAATTTTGTCGGTGACCTGAGAGTTTTCCCACTGCGCGCTGCCTCGAAAATGCGTTTGTGAAGACAGCATGCAGCTGGGCTTCAGCGCAACCGAAGTGAGGAGTCACCGCGCCGCTCGGGGTGCCGGAAGAGGCCCATTGATGTGCCGACTGCCAGTGCCGTGAGCAAATTAGGGGGCCGTCACAATGACGTTCTAAATCCCACCCCTTTTGTTGCCCACGTGGCGGTTGTTGTTTTTTTGCGAGTTAACAGCCACTGGAAACGCTCGACTGTGTCTGGCGCTGCCGAACTACGTGATGCACCATGCCGGCACCGTACTGTCCGTGCGCCGCGGTCACGGCATATCCAGTTGACACGTTCCGACTGAGTGCCAATAAATCAATGCTGCCTGCCAATGGCTGGCCAGCCTTCCCAAGCTTACGGCACGAAAAAATAACCACCGCGCAACCAATTCTAACCACGATCCTACAGTTGCCATCACGCAACATGATCTCCTTCGTATTTTTTGCCTTCACTGGCTGGCTGCATTTCTTGTACTTTCCACACCGTGCCCCGCACCAGAAGAAGTACGCAGCAAGTCTAGTCCATACAACTTGTACGCGCCTCTGGAGTGCAGTGCCGACTGCGTTTTGGTGGAGAAAGACCACAAAATCCCACCGTGACCATGATCTGCCTGGTATACTCGAGACCTCACAAAGGGCCAAGTCAAATATTCGCACAGGTCACAGAAGGCGTTGTTCTTCTTGCATATATAAAATGCCCACAAGCGTTAAAGCATGGTTTGTTATTTTACGTGAATTAGGCTTTTCGCTAATACGGCGATAAGCCTGCGTAATCACACAAGGTCAAAGCCTCTTTCTAGGAGTGTGACACTTAGTCAGGCATTCGCAACGTTTTGTAATTCTCCTTCGCAACGCATATGTACATTTGTTATTTGTCGTTGCCTGATATAAAAAAAAGAAATACATACTCAAATAAAGTAGGCTCGCAGGAAACTGTAGGGTGGGAAGGGCTGGAAGGGGGCTCCTTCGCAGACTGCGTACGCAGAAGCTAAACTAGCTATGAGGTATGGGCTTGTCCAACTCTTTGAAATAGTGTGGACAAAAACTGTAGTTCATTAATGTTTGCTGATGTCTCATGTGTTGCTAATGAATAAGCACGCCAGTCCAGCGTTTTTGCGCAAGTTTATATACACAACTGTTCCATATGACCCTTTATTTCAATCTTGCAGCAGCACTTCAGACACACCACCGAAAAAGCAGGTAAATACAGTTATGTAGTGTCAGCATGTAGGCTGCTCTGTAAAACTTGGACCAGGCCGAGAAAAACAAAGACCACAAAATATGATTATTAGGTCAGGGTTAGTTCTCAACAACTTCGTCATGCACAATGACTTTGTGACTCGGTTAGCATTAAAAAATGAAGCAATAAAAGTTTTCTGGCTGCGTAATTTTTAAAGACACTTGTGAAATTCATCATACTCGAAAGAACGAAGAATCGTTCATAGTGAACCTGAACTTTCTCGACATTTTTCACAAGTTCCATGCCCTCTATATGAGGGTCTAAAAAGACATAGATGTGTACCGCCATGGTAGACAATATATCAAATATTCTCCGATTAGCTTGTACATATGGCTTTAGGGAAAGAGAAGAACAAAATGAGTAGAAAGGATCTACATATATTTGTTGGTATTCTAAGGGAGAGCTCTGAGGTATAGAGCTATAACCAAATCCTGTGAGCTTCAGCTGCAGAACATCTATTCAGGAAATACGAGCGTCTATTTTAGTGTGGTTCCCTATAAAGGTAATTGAATGGTGAAACTGAATGAATGTTAGATAACCACTGCTTACCTATGAGTACCATGCAAAATCAGAGCTTACTTCCCTCGCCTTTTCTACGTTCACGGGTGCATAGAAAAAACTCTATGGTGAGGCAACGTCTGTACAACAGACAGCGCACTGAATTCTAAATCAATACAAACGGATTAAGAGCAATGTTGAAGCTTTTCAGATGGCACACCTTATATTGAAACACTCTTGACAACTGGTGATAAGAAATTGGGTACAGCTTGCTAGCGAGACAACCAAGAGGATTGAAATATAGGATATTTTTCTTTAGCACTGCTACTGAAAAGCAACCATACCTCTGTGAGGATCCGCAGGGTATCCACGGAGCAATCTTTCCAGGGAATGAACAGTGGAAGCTTCCTTTTCCGAACCAACGTGAGCTGCTGGTGAAATATCTGCCACTCGACCAGGTTGTAACAATTTTTGCTGCATTGAACAAATTTCTGATGAACCTATGGGGTATGACAACACATGACACAGACTGAAAGGATTCGGGGTGACAAAAGAGGCACGCATATGGGTAAACTGGTATGCCGCATAGGATTCCAAATGCTTGAAACCGTGACATACATTTATTCATTGATTTATCAAGATAGTATCAAGATATCCAAACCTTTGTATCCAATGTATGAAGAAGACAGGTCCCCATTTCAGCTTTTCGAACAGCGGCAACAGTTAAAAACGTGGGCTTACCTTTGGCGTTATGCCTGCCACTGTCACGTGTTGCCCGGTGGGTTGCCTGCCAAATAGCGAACGATATTCGTGCGCTGCTTGGCAAGGGAGACAAAGCGAGTCATTTCATCCAATCTGCAGCAGCCACAGTTATTTACAGAATGGTCCTAGTGAGCACAATTTGTGTATTGCCAAAAACTGATAACGGTGAAAACAAAAACACCTGCATTACACACCCTTAACTTGGCGCACTCTATTTTGTTGTAGTCTAAATTATTTACACGCTCATTTGCCTGAAATATTTCTTACACGTCGTGCAACAGCTTCCAGGTCAATCATGGAAGTATTGGTACTCTATCACCTTCCAGAACACAATGAATAGGGACACCTAACATGTATACTTGAATTATGAACAACTGATGTAGTCCTTAGAAATAGCGCTCCCTTGAATGAATAAATTGTACCGGCCTATCTTCAAGGCTCGGATGCTCTAACGCTGAGATTATGGCTTCCTCAAGGTCCTCCTCCTAAAAGCGCGCCATTTGCCTGGTGACGCCCGAACGTATTCGAGACTCCGTCTTCCAAAACGAGGCCCCGTCAGACGTGCAGCTACATGTACAGACAATACGGTGGTGTCAACCTTGTGTTTTCAGCTGATATGCACGAAGGCAGCTACAATGTTGTACATGCGAAAGCAGTGCGAATATTTTCAGATAATGTGGCGGCGAATATACACCCCAGTTATCGTATGGGCTCTTTACGAAACTCACGCAACATTTTTAGATATTTTAGGATGGTTTTGCAGCGATGATCTTTGAGAAGTGCACTTCAATTGATGAAACACGTTTAAATCTTTATATATATATATATATATATATATATATATATATATATATATATATATAGTGGTGGTCGAGTGGCCGTAGAGTTGCAAGTAGTCAAGTTGAACCTCCGTGAGCCATCCCAACGTGGTTTAATTCGACGGTTCGGCCTAGCGTCTGGCCTTCATCAGAATTGAGGGTACAGTTTGTTGGTGCTCAGCTTTACACAATCTAGAATCAGAGGGGGAGAGACAGAAAGAGGAAAAAACGGAAGAAAAAAGAAAAAGAAAAAGAAAGAAAAAGGAGAAAAGGAGAATAAGGAGGGGGGACTTCCCCGGGCCCCTCCTTTCAATATTCCTTCTCCGTCCCCCTCCATCTC